TCAACTGATGGGAGACAGGCCTCAAAGGACCCTCCAGGTATTTCCTCCTCCTTCATGTTTGGAGATACACTACTTAATATTTAAAAAATATTATATGTGTGCATACCTGCAGATGGAAGATAAAGCACAATAAAATGTCCATTCATGAACCTACCATCCAGGCCAAGAGCTGGACCACTCATAACCATTTGCTTATATTAATATTTACCTAGTTGCTTTCTCTAATGGTTTCTTCTTGCCTCCCCATGACAGGCAACCCTTCATATTTTGTGTTTTTCATTCTATTGAGTACTGTAAAAACGTAGTTTTTGTATCATTGGTATCTACAGATATACAATTTACTGCTGAGTTTTGCTTCCTTTGCTCCCTCCAGTTAAGAAGTCCATTTACAGGGCTAGAGAGATGGCTCAGAGGTTAAGAGCACTGACTGCTCGTGTAGAGGACTTGGGTTCGGTTCCCAGTACCCCACATGGTGGCTAATAACCATTTGTAACTCCAGTTCCAGGGGATCCGACACCATCTTCTGACCTCCATGGGTATTGCACAACATGGGTGCCCTTACATACATGCAGGAAATACACTCATACACTTAAAATAAAAATAAAATAATTTTCAAAAAAGAATGGTGCATGCCTTTAATCCCAGCACTCGGGAGACAGAGGCAGGTGGATCTCTGTGAGTTTGAGGCCAGCCTGGTCTACATAGTGAGTTCCAGGTCAGATGGGGCTACAGGGAGACCCTGTCTCAAAAAGATCAAAAAAAAAAAAAAAAAGAGAAGTCCATTTACTACTTATTTCTTGAGTTTTTTTGTGATAAAATATATAACACTTGATTTTATCCACTCTTCAGCTTGAATTTCAGTGACACCAATTACACCCCAGTGTTGGGCAACCACCCGCAGTTCCAAAGCTTTTCATAACTGAACCAGAAACTCAACACAAATATTAAGCAATACCTTCTGTTCCTGCCCCCCTCAGCCTCTTGCAGCTTCTAAACTATTTTTGCCTTCATGAATCTCCTTTTTGTCTTCTTCATTTAGTATGTTTCCAAGGTTTATTTATATTATAGCAGGTATCAACTCCATTGTTTTCTACAGGTTAACAACTATTCTCTTACATGTAAATACTGTGTTTTGCATTCTCCTGTTAATGGACATTTGGACCTTTTGATCATTATGAAAATGCTGCAGTGAACACTGGTGTAAAGTCTTTGATTTTGGTTTTTTTGATGTGCACCTAGAAGTAAAACTGCTGGGTCATGTGGCAAGTCTGTGCTTAGCTTCTGGGTGGATGGACCATCAAGTTGTCCCATGGAAAATGTGCCAGTCTACATTCCCAACACAATGCATCAGGGTCAATTTCTACACACCCTTGCTAACATTTGTTACACACGCCTATAATTAAAGCCATTTCTAGAAGCTGTGATATCTCACTGTGGCATTTCCTCAATGACATGTTCCAAAGTTGCTGAGCATATGCTCTTTTTGTGCATATGTGTGTGTATATGTGTGTATGCAAAGGCCAGAGGTGTGATGTCAGGTGTCTACTTCAATTGAGTTAAGCCTCTTCTCATGTGTTCTTTGGCTATTTATATGTCTCTTTTCAAGGACTATCTATTCAAGTCCTTTGCTCATCTTTTTTTTCTAGCCAGGCTTCCACTGTGTAGTCTGGGCCTCAAACTCAAGAGAGGGTAGGGAGAGAGCCGGGCATGGTAGCGCATGTCTTTAATCCCAGCACTCAGGAGGCAGAGTCTGTGCTTAGCTTCTGGGTGGATGGACCATCAAGTTGTCCCATGGAAAATGTGCCAGTCTACATTCCCAACACAATGCATCAGGGTCAATTTCTACACACCCTTGCTAACATTTGTTACACACGCCTATAATTAAAGCCATTTCTAGAAGCTGTGATATCTCACTGTGGCATTTCCTCAATGACATGTTCCAAAGTTGCTGAGCATATGCTCTTTTTGTGCATATGTGTGTGTATATGTGTGTATGCAAAGGCCAGAGGTGTGATGTCAGGTGTCTACTTCAATTGAGTTAAGCCTCTTCTCATGTGTTCTTTGGCTATTTATATGTCTCTTTTCAAGGACTATCTATTCAAGTCCTTTGCTCATCTTTTTTTTCTAGCCAGGCTTCCACTGTGTAGTCTGGGCCTCAAACTCAAGAGAGGGTAGGGAGAGAGCCGGGCATGGTAGCACATGTCTTTAATCCCAGCACTCAGGAGGCAGAGGCAGGTGGATCTCTGTGAGTTCAAAGCCAGCCTGGTCTACGTAGTGAGTTCTAAGCCAGCTAGGGCCACAGAGAGACCCTGTCCCAAAAAGACATAAACCACCACCACCAACAACAACAAAAAACAACAAAAAACCTCCAACCAACCAACCAAACAAAAAACAGGGATAGAAAGAGGAAAGGAGAGACAAATAGTGCCTACCTAGTATAAAGAATTATATTAGTCCAAAAACCTACTGAAAAATTACACATACAATATCTCTACATGAGTCTGTGAGTATAGCTGAAGACAACATAACAAGAAACAGTGCCAGACAGGAGAAACCTTCCTTTGAGTTGCTGGCCAGGGTAGTCCAAGAGACTCCCAAAATTACACAGAGATCCACCTGCCTCTGCCTCCAGAATGCTGGGACTAAAGACATGCACCACCATGCCTGGTTCTTTCCCTACCCTCCCCATTTAAAGTGTCCCCGTTTTCTCCATTTCTCCCTTGATAATTTCTGTCTGGTGTGGTCCCACCTCTCTTGAGCTCCTTCTTCCCCTTTATTCCCATAGTTCTTTGTATAGCCTCTTCTCCCCCTCCCATTTAACTACCCCCTTTTTACCCATTTCTCCCTTAGTAACACCTGTCTCCTACTGTTCTCTCTCAGGTTCCTTCTTTCCCTTCATCTCCCTTGTTCTCTTCCATTTTCCTGGTTCCTGCAGTTATATCAGGATATATACTCACTTATAAAGAAGAATCCCTTTATTTTTATTTTATGTGTATGAGTGTATTGCCTGTATGTATGTAAGTGCACTCATGTCATGCAATGCCTGTGCAGGTCAGAAGAGGGTGTCAGATCCCCCGGGACTGGAGTTATGTGCAGTTGTTATTTGCCATGTGGTCTTAACCACTGAGTTGTTTCTCCACCCCAAAGAACTCTTTTTAAAAATAATTTATTTAGGGCTGGAGAGACAGCTCAGTGATTAAGAACACTTGCTGTTCTTCCAGAGGACGCAGGTTTGATTCCCAGCACCCACATGGCAGCTAACAACCATCCGTAACTCCAGTTCCAGGGGATCTGACGCCTTCTTTTGGCCTCTGTGGGGCATCGCATGCACATGATACACTTACGTTCATGCAGGCAAAACACTCATATACATAAAAATAATAAAATATTTTTAAAGTTATTTATTTTTATTTGTACAAGTGCTTTGATTGCTGGTATGCTTACTGATATGTGTGTAGTGCCCACAAAAGGCAGAAGGGGGTGACAGAGCCACTACATGGGTTCTGGAAATCAAATCCAGGCCCTTTGGAAGAACAGCAAGCGCTCTTAACCCCCGAGCCACCTCTTCAGCCCTCAAAGATAATTTTGACAAAGTCAAATATATTTATTTTTTCATTTATTGTTTATTATTTGAGTGTCATATTTAAGAATCATTTATCATATTTTGCTTGGGTTTTTAACTCTGTAAGAGCTGTAGCATACTAGATATAATCTGTTACTTTCAATTTTCTTTTCAAAGTTATGTTTATAAGATTATCTTTACTCTTTTACTTTCCTCTAATCTTCGTGGCTGTGCAGTGCTCCATTGCATGACCATCCTACACACTATTTACCTGTTCTCCTGACAGAAATTTGTATTATTTCCAGTTGTTTTGGTATTGTACCAACCTCATTACGAATAACCTGTGATTCTTTGGTACAATCTAAGAACTACTAAACCATTTGTCCCCCCACAGGATTTCCCTGCAGCCTCAGCTGGCCCAGAACTCATCATGTAACTCACAGAGATTTGCCTGTCTCTGCCTCCAGAATGCTGTGATTAAAAGCACGCACCACATGCCTGGCTCTCTAAACCTTTCTTTTATTTATTTATTTTAATGAATAGAGCAATCTTAGATTGAGTTTATTTTTATTCAAGTGAATAGTGCACATGGCAGGTATTTGAGTGAAACACTGATCTTTCTCAGCTGTCTATTTGGACTAGCTCCTGGACTATGAAGCCAGGGGGATCGCTGTCATTGGGTTTAACCTGTGTCTAACTGTAGCAATAGCCACTTTGTGTGACTTCCTGCAAAGCACCATCACAGAAGACACAACAGGCTCCATTTACTGATTTTGCATGGGACACCTTTTAGTAACGGAGCTGTCCACATGGTGGAGGGTTAGGTCACTGTGAAAAGGAAGCACTTTCCTTGCAGCTCTTCTTAAGCAAGGTTCCAAGGGTGTCTACACAGGGTTTGAAGTGATTCAAAGACAAGCTTTTTTTCAGCACTGAAAACTTCAGAATGAAGAGCCAGCATCAGGGCCCCTGTGTCAGTCTACGTTACAACTTTTACCACTCTGAGACTTCCTGCAAACAGCAAGAGGTCAAGACCCAATAAATCCAGTTTACTGATTTCAGATCCGAGAGCTTCAGCAATGGATGTCCACATAAAGGGGAACATGACTGACAAGAGGAGATGGTTTCTTTATAGCCCCATCTAAGCTGGGCCACAGGATTGTCTACCAGGGCTTTGAAATAACTCAAAGAAAGGTCTTTTCTGCACTGAAATCCTCCAAAAATAAAGTGCCATATTGACAAGTCCCCCTTCTGCATCCCACCCTTTGCTCATTATTGGAAACTTTCTGGTAGGTTGTGAGGGGTCATGTAATCACCAGATTTCTTCACGGTTTGTAAAATAACACCGCAGGAAAGCCAAGCATGAAGCAAGAGCCCAGCTCTTGATAGGGGTTTGGCTTGTGGTTTGGTTACAGGAACAGCCAGTGACCTCAGCAAGGCCAAAGTTGTGTAAATACAGGAACTGGAAATGAAGGAAGGGGGTGAGATCTTGTGGTATAAAAGGCTCAGCAGGAGTCACCAAGGCATAGCCCCTCCAGAAGCAAGAGAGGCCCAAGATGAGGTAAGTCTACAGCACCCATCTCATCCTTCTCAAACTCAGAGCAGAAGTCTATGGGGGAGTTGCAAATGGAAGGATTAAACAGGCCCAGGGTTTGGTGCATCCAGCCTGTGGCTGGTGGGCCACGTGAGGCCGAGGAGAGTTTGAATGCAGAACATAGAACTGTAAACCTATTGAAACGTTATGAGATTATTTTGTGGGTTTTTTTTTCTTTTGTAACTCAATTGTGTGGTTCTTGAGTGTGAATTTTGTAGATGACAGTGCCATGCTGCAATGTTAAAGGCTGGACATGCCTGGAACCATAGCAAGTGATAGGCTCAGGGAGCTAAATCTCCTCACTGCATGTGTGAGACAGGGCTTTCAGGCAGGGATGTCCTCTCTTAGAGGACCTATATCTTTGAGGTCATAAAGTTTTGGTCTTACCAGGCATATTCCTGGCATTTTTGCCATTCTTATTAACAGATTCCCTGCTCCTCCCTACCTTTTAAAATAAGAAAGACTGGGGCTGGAGAGATGGCTCAGTGGTTAAAGGAAGGGACTGCTCTTGCAGAGGACCCGGGTTCAATTCTCAGCATCCACATGGTGGCTAACAACCATCTGTAACTCCAGTTCCAGGGGATCTGATGCCCTCTTCTGACCTCCTCAGGCATGACATGGGTCAGGTGCATTTACAAACACACAGGCACTACATTCATACACATAAAATGAAGAATTGCACGACACGGGTGCACTCACATACATGCAGGCAATACACTCCTCATACACATAAAATAAAAATAAATAAAATATTTAAAAAATAAAATAAGACTAATAGTGGTACTTTTAAGGCAAAACAAGGCACCAGGCTTTTATCAAAATAGAAAGACTCTGAAGGTTGAAACAGCTGACTGGAAGCTTAGTGTCACCAAGCAAAATCCCTGACTGGCCAGCATCTGCTGGGACTTGGGTTACCTGGTGAGTGTGGTCTGTGCACTGATGCCCACAGCTATAGTCAAGTCTTTGGGAAGTCAGTTATTTTCCAGGTAATCGTTTGGCATTCTGGGGTTTGATACACCATGTCTTAAAGGCAAATGATCACAAAATAACAGGAAGAAACATACAGGAGCTGGGTATGACGGTGTACGCCTGTGGCCCCAGCTACCTTGGAAGCCAAGCCAAGGAGGGCCACCTAAGCCCAGGAGTTCAGGAGTTTGTGTCCAGCCTGGGCCACACAGTAAGACTATGTCTTTAAAAAGCTGTAATTTAGAAAACCTTTTCATAATGGAAAATTTCAAAAAGGAGAGAATAGCAAAATAAATCCCTATCCATCATCTTCAAGTTGGCTCTACTGTGTTCAGTGTCTTTAAAGCCAGTACTTGAGGGATGTCTGGCAGAGGGTTCTTCCAAGAGAGCTCATGGATTCTTGACAGAGATTGAGGCCTACTTAGCTCTGTCCTCCCCTCTTCCTCCCCCTACCCTCCCGGCTTTTTTGATAGGCATTTGTTGTGTAGGTAGTCCAGGCTGGTCTCAAACCTTTGATCGTCCTGCCTCTGCCTCCAGAGGGCTGGGACTGCTGGTGTGCCTCCTGGTACCTTCCTTTTTCTTGTCGTGGTGGTCCCTCTCTGAAGCTGGCACAGAGCTTCCAGGGTGTGCCTAGAAGCCACTGAAGGCTGTGCGGATGGGTGGGGACTGCTTAATGGAAGGTGTGTGTGTGTGTGTGTGTGCACGCGCGCGCACCTTGCACTGCTTCTCGTCACCTCTCTGCAGAGCCCTGGGAGCTATTGTTACCCTCCTGCTCTGGGGACAGCTTTTTGCTGTGGACTTGAGCAATGATGCCATGGATATCGCAGGTGAGTCTGGGTTTACCCTGGCACTGTGCAATCCAGCTTGGCTGTGGCTCAGCTCAGCTGTGCCCCCGTCTGGCCCCATCAGAGCTGCACCATGTTAGGAAAGCCCCAGCTCCCCCTCTAGATTTTCTTCTCCCCTATACATGCACGACTCCCTTCTCAGTTTCCACTTGGGTGGTGGGAGGCTGGTGTGAAGGCTAGCGTCCTCTCATCTGACTTTTTTATTGGTCACAGGGAGTAATTTCTGAGCATCAACGTCCTGTTCTGGCTTCTTTTTCTTTGCAGATGACAGTTGCCCCAAGCCCCCCGAGGTTGTAAACGGCTATGTGGAGCACTCGGTTCGCTATCGGTGTCGCCCGTACTACAGACTTCGCAGTGAAGGAGATGGTAAGGCCTGAATGAGTGTCCCTCCCTGCATGCCCTTGGTACTGATATTCTGGGGATGGGGCTGGGCAACTGGACACAAAGCTCACGTTCACTGCCTGGAACCAGAAGAGTTAGTTTTAAATAAAGTTTGTCACCAGTGGTCTTTCCAAGTGTCTCAGCTTCCTGTGTGATTTTTGTTAAGGGGACGCAGTAGCACGGTGCCTCCTTTATGGTATGGACTCCACCTATGGCATCAGGTGGTTCTCAGTGAGCACTGTTGTGGCACTTTCTAAAGATCGCATGGTCTCCACAGCACCCTATGGAGCGATCTTTATTCTCATTTTGATGACAAGGAAACTGAGGCAACCTGTGAGAGGCAGTCAGGATCTGAATCCTGGCCTCTTTCTGTCCTGTCCTGCCCTGGTTGACTACTGTCCCGGGCAGAACGAGACCTTCCTTCTCTACAAGGTCTTTCCTCCATCCTAATCTTTCTCTTTAAAAGTATCCTGCTGCACTAGGTCCAGACTCGGTTTCTCCCTGGACCCATCTCCTCCCTTTGTTTCAGGAGTGTACACCTTAAACAGTGAGAAGCAGTGGGTGAACACAGTCGCTGGAGAGAAGCTCCCCGAATGTGAAGCAGGTGGGTGCAGAGGGCTTAGGGCCTGGACAGGGATCTAGGCTGAAGAAGTGGGAAACAGAACTCTGCTGTTATGCACAGTGAAAAGGTCCTTATTTTCATGTGTGACTGTTAAGAGACGAGGAGCAGGCAAGGGCAGAGCATTTGAACATTTCTACATGTAGACACCCTGCAAAGCCCCAGGGGCTTCTACGCATGGGCCTTGGACTGCTGCTCATGGTTTCTTGATTTCTTGACAGTGTGTGGGAAGCCCAAGCATCCCGTGGACCAGGTGCAGCGTATCATCGGGGGCTCTCTGGATGCCAAGGGCAGCTTTCCCTGGCAGGCCAAGATGATCTCCCGCCACAATCTCATCACGGGGGCCACACTGATCAGTGACCAGTGGCTGCTGACCACAGCCAAAAACCTCTTCTTGAACCACAGTGAGAATGCCACATCCCAGGACATAGCCCCTACCTTAAAGCTCTACGTGGGAAGAGAACAGCTGGTGGAGATTGAGAAGGTGGTTCTCCACCCCAACCACTCCACAGTGGACATTGGACTTATCAAGCTCAAGCAGAAGGTACCTGTCAATGACAGAGTGATGCCCATTTGCCTGTCTTCCAAGGACTATGTAGCACTGGGCCGCATGGGCTATGTCTCTGGGTGGGGGCGAAATGCCAACTTTAAATTTAGCCAGCGTCTCAAGTATGTCATGCTGCCTGTGGCTGACCAGGACCGCTGTGTGCAGCACTATGAGGGCAGCACAGTGCCTGAGGAGAAGGCCCCCAAGAGTCCTGTCGGGGTGCAGCCCATCCTGAATGGGCACACCTTCTGTGCCGGCATGTCCAAGTACCAGGAAGACACCTGCTATGGTGATGCTGGCAGCGCCTTTGCCATTCATGACCTGGAACAGGATACCTGGTACGCGGCGGGGATCCTCAGCTTTGATAAGAGCTGCACTGTGGCAGAGTATGGTGTGTACATGAAGGTGACCTCCATCCTGGACTGGGTTCAGAATACCATGGCCGATGACTAGAACAGGGCCGATGGGAAGGCTGAACTCAGTAGGGCAGGCTGGGAGATCCTGACTGAGAGCATGATTCACCCCAGAAAGGGGAAGTGAAACAGATGGGGTGTGGTCTGAGGGGTGCCAGCCCTGCACTTGCTGAGTAGATAATAAATGCTTGCTTCTGACCTCATTCTGGGCTCTCTGTATTCTGGGGCTTTTATTCTCATTTGTGGTACTGGACGGCCAAGTGGAAGTCTCCTGGAAACATGGGAGAAAACACCCCAAGGTGCCAGGAAATTCCCAAGGTGCTGTAGGCTGTCTGCTTTGGGAAATCATGCCTCTGAACAGCAGGTCGCAGAGACTGCAGTGGTCCTTGCTTTGCAGAGACCCAGAGAAGTGAGGTGCTTAGTTACTCACTGTGACAGCTGAGCTTAAACCTGGGTCTGCATGAATGCAAATCTGAGCTCTTGGCGCATCCTACCACTTCTGAAGTGGATGAGGAAAAGGTGTGGGCCTGGTGCCACAGGAGTCAGTGTGCTGAGAAGGGCTGTAACAGACAGCCCTTTTGTCTGTGCTTCAACCTACCAGTACCCTAGAAACTAAAATAAGGGATACACAGGCAGGGCATTGGCCTTAATGGGGCTCAACCACAGCAACTCAGAGACTTAGCTCTGGCTGTCGCTCATCCCCAAGTCTCTTCCTTTAGGGGAAAACAGTGATTTCTAAGTCCAGGGCTAGAATGCTCTGGGACTCTGCAGAGTTGGGACTCTCTTCCTTAGTGGGCATCTCTTCCACTGTGGAGAAACCTACCCCATCCTGAGTCAAATGCAAGCCACACTGCCCTTCTACCTCAGGATAAGGGGATCTGGGGAAGCAGGGGACAGGAAGCTCTTCTCTCTGAACTTTTCCTGGCTCCCGAGCCTTTGGTGCAGTCAGGCCAAACATGGCCTCTCTTCTCACAGTGTATGAAGCCACCAGGTCACAATTCTCCCCTGGACCAAGACTTCACTGACATGCCCCTCACCGGCACCCTCTAGAGCTAATACAGCTTACCAGGGTAGAGCTAGGGGACTAAGGGAGACAAGGATGTACATTCTAGAACCCGGATAGAATAACAGCCAGAAACTGAAACACTCAGAAAACGCCGATGGGTGTCGGCGGCCCCTTTTTCTTTAGTATCTTCAGTACTGTCTGTATTCAGTGGCTTCTAGTCACTACCCATGAGGGAGACAAGAGAAATCTGGAACTTTCTCCACCTCTGTTCTCCTCCCAGCAGGCCTCCTTGCACCCCAGCAATGCCCCCAGCTCTCACAAATGGGCCCCTTCTCTCCCTTAAGATTCGGGCACTGCCTCGCCTCCAAGGCTTACTGTTCAGGAGTCATTTGTATTTCTGTGGTATCTAGCATGGACAGAGTGCTGAGCCTGTGCTTAATACTTATGTGAGGAGAGCAACCACGACAGGATCTAACGCATAATTTCAGAGACAGGAGAATTTTATGGGTGCAAGTTCTAAGTTTCCACTGGCATCCGAGCACTTACTAAACGCTGTGCTTAGGAGGGCAGAAGACCAGACCAACAGTGAGTTAGATAGACATCTTATTCTTTCATGGAGATGTGGAGGAAGGTTTGGGGCTCACTCAGGAGCTCAGCAACATCACTAGGGACTCAACACTGAGCTGCTCTTCTCGCCTTGCTCACTTTCCATCTCAAAGATGGCTGCTGAAGTCCCAAGCACCACAGTTAAGACAGAAAATGGGAACTGAGGGGGAGGGGGAGACAGAGGCGGTGAAAGGATTTTGTTATTGCTCATTCTTGGAGTAGCTCTCACTTTCTTCAGCCAAGGACACAGAGAGCCCCCAGAAACTTTCTTTTCGAGGAACCCAGCCAGTTTCACTCCTCCCTTGGGAGAAGCACCTGAGAAGGGGCTGCACGTCATGACTATGCTTTCAACATCCGTGGCCTCTGCTGCAGCAAGCCACCAGCTGCCAAGCAGGTGACACACTGCCTGGCCTACAGCCCACCAGCTGTCCACTCTCTTTCCAGAGTGTCAGGGCAATAGCCATCATGAGGTCAGAGCGAAACACAACTTTCCTGAGGTTGTGCCAGGGGAACCCTGGATAAACAGATTCCTCAAAAGTCACTGGAATCAGAAAATTCCCTAAAGGCATGACCCCGCCCCCAACCAATTCTGCTATCCCTTCCATCTTGAGCCTTTGAAATACAATTTTCAGCCCCAGAAAGAGGCAGCAGCTCTGCCTTCTGGGAGAGATCTGCTCCTTAGTTCCCAAGGATAAGTCTTTGTTTAGCTTAAATTGGATGCTGGATAGCGGTCTAAGTTCTTTCTTTCAGGGCAATTTAATACCCCAATAGCTAGTTAAATGATGCGACTAGAGCAGTAATTTCAAAGTCTGAGCCAGAAATTAATATCTTGCCTGCTACTTCATAGTGTTAATTATTGCAAGAGAAGCTGGGTAAGAGGGCACATGGGCATAGGAATGGAGAAAGAGACAAAGGTGTGTGTACACATGCGCATTTAGGAAGAAAAGATGTATTTCTGTTCCTATGAGACTGACTTTCCATTTTATTTGTTCATCAGACAAACAGGGTTAAGTCAAACTGTACTCGCAATGTTAAGGGTAAAATCATAGTATAAAGAAAATCATAGTATAAAGAAGTTAGAAGACCACTCAGGGAAACTGAGTTCTGTTGCTCAGCTGCTGAGGCTCCCAGTGGATGTACAGGCATCCACATGGGCACCAACCACCAGTTGGGCTTCAGCTCAGGGCTGCTGTTTACAGACGCATCAAACTCTCCTCTGCTGAACCGGCTTCCAAGGGCCTCCAGACCATAGGCCTGCTGGGTTCAGGTACTGTTCCAACCTGTGCCCCTCTCATCTCCAACTGCAGTGAACATGCTAAATGTCCTGATAGAGGAGGTCATATTTGGGGATATTCTTGGGATCAATGGGACTTTGGACAATAAGTTTTCCCCTCATTGCTCCCCGATAGATTACTTCAATCAAATCTATGAAGTCTTGTTTGGTTTTGAAACTGCCCACAAATTTAGTGTGATCCGGAGACCTACAGCACAGAAGAGAGACAACTGCTTTTAGAAAAACTTTCAATGCTTAAAGGCTTGCAGGATAAGCAGAGAGCAGAGGCTGATACTTCCCTCGTCTGGAGACTTTCCATGGATTGCATTTACTTATTTTTAAAATCAATTAATTAATTAATTTTCTTTTTGAGACAAGGTCTCTCTGTAGCCCCAGCTGGCCTTGAACTGAGATCCGCCTGCCTCTACTTCCCAAGTGCTGGGATCAAAGGTGTGTGCCACCATGCCCAGCCTTATATTTTTATTTATTTTTATTTTATGTGAGTGTTTTGCCTGCAGGTATGTTAAGTGTACCACAAGCATGCAATGCCCATGGAGGCCAGAAGAGGGTGTCAGATCTCCTGGAACTGGAGTTATAGACAGTTGCTGGCCATCATGTGGGTGCTGGCTAAACCTGAGTCTTCTGCAAGATCAGCCAGTGCTCTTCATTGCTGAGCCATCTCGCCAGCCTTGCAGTCTGCTTTTTAATCACTCTGCAAATTGTTATCATGTGGAGTTCATCTAGTATTGGAATGGGTAGTTTGTGTCACTATGCCAAGCCCTTTAACTCATCACCACCTCACAAGTTCTTATCCCTCATTCTGAGCTGAGGGCATTAACAAGTTACTTAAAATTTTAAACATCAGGTATATTGGTTGTAGAAATTTTACGAGAAAAATAAAATTACCAGTGAGGCCAAAAGTTACCTTCTGATGTATATCCTTCCAGTCCTCTGTGTGTGTGTGTGTGTGTGTGTGTGTGTGTGTGTGTGTGTGTGTGCGCATGCATGTGTGTGTGCACTATTATTTCTTTTTCGATAATGGGAACCATATCACAAACTATTTAGTAATGTGGTTTTTTTCAATTAATATATTTGTTTCAAAGTTGTTAATTATGCGTCTACAACATACCATTAAATTCCTGATTAAAAAGTTTATTAAACACTTTAAAGGTGTTTGATACATAGTGTCATAAATTGCCACATAAAAAGGTTGTGCCAAACAACATAGTAACTGTGTTCTAGGAGAATAAGAGCTTTAAAGCAGATAGTGTTAAACTCATTTTCAAACATAATGACAAAGCAGACAGGCCTCCACCGAGTACAGGTGATCAGAATTCTGGATACATCCAGCAGTGCTCAGTCTGAGATGTTAACTGGATGGAGAGGAGGCATTACAGAAGAAATCACTTGTTTTGACAAGTTCTCCTTGAAGAATGACTTCAAAATTATCTGAGAGAGGCACTTGGCAAGAGAAGTGTACCTTGCCTGCAGGAGTGCTGCTTCTGGAAACACCAACCACCACAAATTTAGGAACTGGGTTTTTTTTTGGATTTATTACTTTATGTGTATGAGTGCTTTGCCTGCATGTATGTAAGTGCACTCATGCATGCAATGCCTGTGGAGGCCAGAAGAGGGTGTTGGATCGCTTGGTACTGAAGTTATGGATGGCTGTTAGCCCCATATGGGTGCTGGGAACAGAACCAGTCCTCTGTAAGAGCAGCTAGTGTTTTTTGTCTCTGAGATCTCTCTAGCCTTGGAACTAGGTGTTCTGAATCAAACAGAATTCTTGGTCAACTTTTTATATTCCATACTTAGTTATATGTTTTCTATACTTAAAGATGATTAGCTAGTTCTTCAAAAACTACACTATTTTTTCATAGATTGTAATAACTTTCAAAGTCAACTAACTTACCCATAATCCACTTTCATATGCTGCCCATTGAAGAAAAATACAGTAGATGGAATATAACTGATGTCAAAATACTGTGTATAGACTGGAGTGTGGTCCACATCCACCAGATATACTGCTGCCATCTTGCTTAAGTCAGAGGTGGTCTTAGAAAGCTGTAAATGACAGGACAAATGGAAGTTATGCTATGCCAGGCAGCCAAAAATTCTTCTGTGACACTTTTACTATATTACTGTATTTTGAGAAAATGCCTCAATCAAGAATCAAACCCTTTTGAGCTCCTCAATAAGCAAATCTTGTTGTTCAGAAGTTGGAGTGTTGTTGATAGGGTTGGGAAAAGGCCCTGGGAAAGATAATTTCTTCTTCTGTCCATGTTTGGTTGTTTTGAAATTTAAGTACATTTATATTTGTGTGTGTGCGTGTGTGTGTGTGTGTGTGTGTGTGTGTATGTATGTGTTATGAGTGGGTCACAAAGCATTGTGGAGGGCAGAGGGCAACTCGTGGAAGTCAGTTTTCTCTTTCTGGTGGCAAGTGCCCTTACTGCTGAGCCATCTCATGGTCTGTATTTGATTGTTTCTATAAAAGTAATCCGCACTCACTAAAGTGAGTTGAGCACCAGGTCTGGGTTCAATCCCTAGTATTGCAAAAACAACAGCTAAATATCTCTACATACCAGCTTATGACAACCCAGGAAGATGTACTACAGACACCGAGTCTCCTCCTTCCTCCTGGAAATGAAAGCTCCAGAAGCAACTGCTTCATGTCACCTTGCACTTGCTAACTGTCCTCAGTGCTTTACTGTGAACCCATTTAACACCTGCTATAGTCCCATGAGCTGTGACTGATAAGAGTCCCCATTTTATAGATGATGAGGCTGACACTTGCCCCAGGTCACATAGCTCCCTAAGCAGTAGGGCTGGGATCTGAACTTTGGCAGCTTAGTTTCAGAATCCATCCATCCATCCATCCATCCATCCATCCATCCATCCATCCATCCATCCATCCATCCAACCATTAATCGACAGAGGCTAACTTTCAGGAGTTGGTTCTCTCCTTCCACCACAGGTTCCAGGGACTCAATTCAGGTCATCAGGCCCCCACGACAAGCACTTTTATCCACTGAGTCATCTAACTGGCCTCACACTTTCATTTTTCACTGCATAAGGACTACTCTTACATTTTGTTTTCATAGTTGATGGTGACAACAGAAATAGTGTGATGAGGTCTCAGTCTTTGGTAAGTCTCTATAATAAACAGGAATAAAAATAAATACACTGCCCAGTCAGTGAAGTTGAGATTTCACAGCTGCTAGTGGGGAAGGATGTCAGGACTGATTCAGCAATGGGTTTGGGGGTTCAGCTCAGGGAAGTACAAGATCAGTTTTTAGTAAAGTCTACTAATGAATGAACAGCTAATCTACACCAGCCTATGCTTTTCCACATGCTTTGTAGATGCTGAGGCGATAATAGGTTTTTCAACTATAAGCACTTACTTAAGAATTCACTTACAATATCATCTAGCTGCAGACAGACAGGGTCCTCATCTCTCCCAAACCTCAGAACCAACACCTTCTCTGCAGTACTTTTTATTGCCTGGTCCACTTCTTTCTTGCTAGTCAGTTTGGGCAAGAGGAAGCTCATCTTGAAAAATTCCAAATGTTAGTCCGCACTGTTAATCCTAAAATGAAGCTGTACATTTCAGGCAGTTATAGTAAGTTCATGAGTCCTAACTTAAAACAACGAAAAACAAGGCTTATTCAGGCATGGTGGTGCACGCCTTTAATCCCAGGGATACAGAGGTAGACTGATTTCTGTGAGCTTGAGATCAGTCTGGTTTACATGGTGAGTTCCAAGAAGAGTCAGATACACAGTGAGACTCTGTCTCAAAAAGAAAACAACACATAGCCAGCCAAACAACAGAAAACTCAAACTGTCAGAGCAGGTGATGTATTCAGCTGATTTAAAAAGAAACACTTCAGGAAGGGCTTACGGAGAAGTCTTCACCCCTTGCATGCCATCCTTGGCTCAGCCTCCGTTATTTCATGTGCCATCCCTGACATACCAACCAACCACTTTCATTACTTTCTAATGCATCCCCAAGGGTTTTGTTAGATAGTCCAAAGAAACAAAATGATGTGCCTGCCTTTTCTTTCTTTTTTACACAAGAGATAGATTGTATTAGTCAGTGGTCCAGCAGGGAAGAGATGCCATCCTCAAATTTGGGAATTTTAAGAGTCTAATTAGAACAGGGAGTAGAAAGACAAGATGAAGCCTGAACAGCAGGCTGCTGTTTCATCTACAGGCCGGGAGGAGCCACAGGCAATGGAGAACCAGCTACAAGGATGCCGGCCTGCAACTAAAGGATGTGGCTACTATCCTCTTTCCCTTCCTCCCTCTGACTCTAGATGGAACCAGAGGGCATGGGAGCTGCTGAGGCAGATGCCAATCTCAGTGCAGTCTAGAGGAGGAGTGGCTGCACAGAGAGGGGTGGCAGAGGCCCAGCACGCACACTTTACCCACATTTCTGCCCTTTGCATTAAAAAGAAAATGACACCTGGGTGTGGTGGCACACAGTTTTAATCCCAACATTAGGGAGGCAGAGGCAGGTGGATTTCTGTGAGTTCAAGGCCAGCCTGGTCTACATGGCGAGTTCCAGGTCAGCTGGGGCTACAGGGAGACCCTGTCTCAAAAGACCAAAAAGCAAAACCAAAAAACTTCCCTTATCCTTATATACAAAACTTCCAGACTACCAGAAGCATTGCATTTCATATGCAGACCATACTTTCAAATGGTTATTTATTTACTTATTTTTGAGACAGGGTCTCACTATGTAGCCCTGGCTGTTCTGGGACTAGCTGTGTGGACCAGATTGGCTTCAAAGTCATAGAAACCCGCCTGCTTCTGTTTCTTGAGTCCTGAGATTAAACGTGTGTACCACCTTACCAAGGTATTTTTTTTTTTTAAAGAAAATTTATTTTTATGTGTATGCATGTTTGCTTGCATGTATGCATGTGCACCATGTGTGAGCCTGGTGCTGTGGAAGCCAAAAGAGAGGATCTGATTCCCTGGAACTGGAGTTACAGACAGTTGTGAGCTGTTATGTGGGTGCTGGGAAGTGAACCCAGATCTTCTGCAAAAGCAGCCAGTGTTCTTAACTGCTGAGCCATCTCTCTAGCCTTACATGGTTCTTTACTGATGGACATTTGTATTTTTATGAGTCTTGGCTTAAGAAAATCTTACTAAGTGCACCTTATCACATGGGAAACACATCAAGAAAGAATGTGTGAAAACCACAAATAAATAAATCATAAGATACTGAGAGTTTGCAGTTTGTCATCTAGGGAAGCCAGGATAGATGCTCAAGCAGGAACCGAGGGGCAGACCATGGAGGAATGCTGGCTTGCTCAGCTTACTTTCTTTTCTTGTTTTTTTGGTCTTTTTGAGATAAGGCCTCCCTATAACCCTAGCTGGCCTGGAACTTGGTATGTAGACCAGGCTGACCCAGATCTTACTGAGGTATACCTGCCTCTGCCTCTGGGGTGCTGGGATTAAAGGCGTGCCCCCCTCCCCCCTGCTCTCAGCTAACTTTTTTTTTTTTTTTTCTTTCAGTCTTTTTGAAACAGGGTCTCCCTGTAGTCCCAGCTGTCCTGGAACTATGTAGACCAGGCTGCCTCTGCCTCCCAAGTGCTGGGACTACAGCCGTGCGCCACCATGCCCAGCTTCAGCTAACTTTCTTATATAGTGCAGGCTCATTTGCCTAGAGACGGCACTGCCTATAATGGCTGGGCCCTCCTACATTAAATTAGCAATTAAGAAAATGCCTCACAGATATGGCTGCAGGCTGATCTGTGGTTCCCTCTTTCCGGGTAACTCTAGGTTTGTCAAGTTGTCAGCTGGAGCTAACTATGACACTACAACAACTAAGATAAAAGTTAGGAGTTGGGGCTGGAGAGATGGCTCAGCAGTTAAGAACACTGACTGTTCTTGCAGAAGACTTGTGTTCAAATCCCAGCACCCACATGGCGGCTAACAACTGTCCTTAACTCCAGTTCCAGGGGATCCAACAGCCTCTTCTGTCCTCCTCGGACATTGCATGACACGGGTGCACTTACTTACATGCAGGCATAACACTCATATACATAAAATAAAAATAAATAAAATATTTTAAAAAAGGTTAGGAGTTATGCTACGCAGTTTGTAGTCTAATGTTCCTTTCAAAATAGGAGTCCAACTCCTAATTTTATAATTGGAAGAAATTTCCTATTTGAGAAGCTCCTTGATTGAAGAGCTCATTAATGACTGCATGCAAAGAGGACTTCACTGACAGCTGGGAGTGGTGGCGCATGCCTTTGGGGAGCAGGGGCAGAGGCAGAGGCAGGCAGATCTCTGTGAGTTCCAGGCCAGCTAGGGCTGCTGGGAGACCCTGTCTCAAAAAGACCAAAAAAAAAAAAAAAGGACTTCACTGAGATAATGGAGATAACTTTTCAAAGTTTGTTAATGATACAAAAGAATGAAGGTTTTTTTTAAATTTTTTTTAAATCACAAAGCACACTTCAAGATATGGATCAAGGCTGGGGAAATAGCTTGTCTGGCAAGCATGGGGCCCATGTGATCCCCAAACCCATGTGAAAAAGCCAGGAGTGGTAGAGCACAATTGTGATCCCAGAGCTGGGGAGGAGACAGGCAGATCCTGGGGCTCACTGGCGAGTCAGCCTGGCCTACTTGGTGAATCCCAGGACAATGAGAGACCATGACTCAAAATAACGAAGGCGGATAGTGCTTAGGAATGATACCTGAGGTTGTTTGGGGGCCTCCACATGCATGTGCACACACACAAGAACATGCACATACAGGCACACACACAAAAGACGAGTCATATGGAGTTCATGAAATGTGAACGAAGAAACGAATGATGAAAGAGAAACTGAAAAAGAACATGGACCTGCCTCATCATGAGAATTCCAACAGAAGTTCCTCTGTACTAAAATAAAGAGGAGGAAGTGTGGGGAGGCATGCTATCAGAGGTCCCATATGGAACTGGACAAATGTTGGGAAGAGTGGGAAACTGAGATCACACCTAAGAAACGTCCATAGCAAAAGGCATCAACAGAGAATCACAAAAGAAGGGTTACAAATGGGCATTAAATACATCTGTAAAGATCAGTTTTGCATGTAAACAAAAACAAATGTCAAGATATATTTAAGAAATCCATTAAGTTGACAACCATTAAGCAAGGGCATAACACAGAAGCAAAGACTGAATGAAGGTGCAGGAATTCCTAATCCCTGATGGAATGCAGAGACAAAATCTCCTTGGAAAGAAAACTGGCACACTGAGCAAGCTTCATGTTTGAGACTTTTTTTTTTTTTTTTTTTTTTTTTTTTTTTGAGAGGGTTCTTTTTGAGACAGGGCCTCCCTGTAGCCCCAACTGGCCTGGAACTCACTATGTAGACCAGGCTGGCCTTGAACTCACAGAAATCCACCTGCCTCTGCCTCCCTGACTACTGGGATTAAAGGCGTGCGCCACCACACCCGACTGCCTTTTGAGAATTCTTTATAGACAAACACGCAACGACGTATGTACTTGGGATATTCAAAATATTTAGTATTTACCATGGTGAAATCCCGTGAACAGCCTAAGGGGCCATCAATAGAACACTGGAAAAGTGGATGACGGTCTAGTCCTGTGAGCTAGCTTAACTAGCAACCGAATAAAGAGTACAAAGCAGCATATAAAGTGTCATTCCGCTTTTGTAGAAAACTTACTATAGTTATACAGTTACACTGAAAAACGAAAATACATATCCCAGGATATACCAAAGGCCGTATGTGCACGTGAACAAAACGGGTGATTGTCTTTCTGAGACAGGGTCTCGCTATGTAGCCCAGGTTGGCCTCAAACTTGTGATCTTCCCAACCCCTGGGTCCCAACTGCTGGGATTAGTAGAGCTCTGCGCCGCTAATTCCGGCCACAAACTATCCCACCAGTGTATTTTAAAAGATGCCTGTAGTTGGGTTCCTCCTGGCCCACAGCTGCTAAGGACAAAACTTACTTAACTCGTTCACGTCATCTCCACTTCACGGTTGTCAGCACCGCGGGCATCTTCCTCGCGCCAGGAACCCGTAGTGAGTGGAAATGGGAGGCGCACAGACGCAGAAAAGAAACGTGAAATCGCATTAGTTTACAGTCCAATAAGCGGACCGTATTACTCTAGTCATTGCCCACTTTGCCCGGCTCTAGCCAGAAGTCACGTCATTTCCGCCCTTATTAAACATGGCCGACCTCTTTCCAGTTACCTCCTCACGCCCTCCGGCCAGAGGCGGGGTGTCAACTCTTAGGCTAAGCGTGATTGGTCGCAAGGAGACTCGGAAGTGCCTCTGTTCGAAGCATTGCCCGGAGGCGGACACTGCAGCTTTGAGGGCTTGTTCGCCTTGTCTCACGTTGGAGTCCCGGAAGCCTCGATTTCCGGTCTGCTCTCGATTGTGTCTGTGAATGGATAGAAGGACCGCGCAGGGTATTATGGGACAACTATGGCCGCTTTCAAGGAGCCGAATTTGGCCCTTTGAGACCATCTGACCGAGCGGAGGTGGCGCAGGCACCCCCTGATCCGGGACAGAAGAGTCTCGCGAGCTGCGCTTGGTGAGGTGAGTGTCCCTCCCTCCTTCCGGCCCCGTCCTTCGGCTGTCGTGGCGGCTCCGGGCGGCCGGGATCGCATCCCGGCCTGGATATGGGCCCTGGGTTTGGGAGTTCCTCTTGTCCTTGTTACCCAACTTTCTCTACTCACTTGACCGATCCTGTGGGCATTCAGCCCCCACCCCCCGGACTCTTTGTCCTTGTTCTGCTCACGTCCCGTTGTCTGGAGCCGTCTCTGGGATCCAGGATGCTGATCTGACCTGCGTTCTTGTTAGGACTGTACCCTAAACCCCTTAGCGAATAGTTGGGGATCCTGAGTAGGGCTCCTGGGTCTTCCATCTCCCTCCCAGAGGTGTCTTCAGCAGCCTATCTGGTGGCTGATCTATAGTAGAATATCGACTCCAAGAGGGTAGGGAGTTTGCCTATTTATTCATCCGTGTTGCTGAGAGCAGTGATTGGCCCAAGGACGTATTCAGTGAGTAATTGCTGACCGAGAAAGTGCGGGCTTTTTCTTTATTGTCTACACTGTGGCCTCTTTCCTCCCATAATCTGGCCCAGGAGCTCCTTATTTGTTCTTTTCAGGAGTTAGTTAATATTCCTTGTCCTGTATTACTGATATCTTTTCTTGCTCTCTCAAGAAATGTTTGACTCCCCTTTCTCCCTTAATAAGTTACATTTATTCACTCACCTAAGTGGTTATTTGCCACTTAGTGGGATATAGCAGTCAACAGGACAGAGGAGATTCTTGCCCATGTATCCACATAGCATTTTAGACATAATTCCTGGCTCAGACGACAGCTGACAGCCTGTGTATTGCTGCCTTCCTGCCTAGATTCCTCATATGCTGACATATGCTGACATATTCTCTTTTCCATCTGGCATGATGATATTTACAAATGCAGCTCTTGTTTCTTCATCTATATTATGTTTGCAATACCCCTCTCTAGAGCTGTGCATGTTAGAGCATGGCAAAAGAAGTCTAGATTCTGGAGGCACAGTAACCCTCAAGAGTTCTTTTGCTGTATTGTTGGAATGAGGGGAAATAATACAAGTGTCCATTATGGGTTTATGCTTACAAGTGGGTAGTATTGTGTGGTAGGAGGTAAAGAAGAATTCGTTATAGGCTGAGCACCCAAGAAATCCTACTGTGTCCCAGATGCTTTCCTGAAACACCATTTTCCAACTTAATATTTCTTATAAATAATTTTGGTCAATAATGAATATAGATTGTTGTCAGGTGACTTTACACTGGGACGCTGTTTTTCTTTTTTTTCCCACAAAACACTACTGATCCACGCCCCCCCCCCAAAAAAAAGTGGCTTCTGTGATAGTGGGGTAGAATGTGGATAGTAACATTATGCTCCAACATCTCTGCTCTGCTGGACCTGTGGCTTAAAGGGAGGGAGAAGGATGTAAAGTTAAGAAATTGGTGAGGAAACTAGTCAGTATATAGGAGCAGATCAAACCAAATATGTCACAATTCCATTTGTGTAACACCTGTTGTTATAGAGTGGGTTCACATATACTTTCTTGTTTTATTTTCACAATGGGTTGATGGATTATGTAAAGCAGAAATGATTTTCTTTTTCTTTTTTTTTTTTGCATCTGAAGATTCTTTTTCCTTTATTCTCAAAGACAAGTGGAAAAGAAAGCATTGTCTGCTGTAATCAGAAACATACCACAGTATAAACAATAACCATTCTACTTATCACAGCTTGGTTGAGTTTCAAATTTGTGTTTAAAAGGTCCAAGATGACTGCAGCTTAACAAAATGGGCAGGATGGAAAGTTTCAAATTTCATGTGCTTATGAAGGATATCAAGGTTTTTATACAGTAGTCACAGTTAAAACATCCTGCTGGTAATACATAATACACTTTATTAAGGTCATACACCAGCAATAAACAATAAAGCCTATACAATTTGTAGTTCTACTTAATCACTGACTGGTACAGCTAATGAACTAAGACTATGATCTTTTTTTTTTTGGAGCAAATACAAAACTTTAACTCAAACAATGAACACTGAATAGTCAATAGCTGTCAGGTAAATTTTCTGCAGAATAAAGGTGTGAGAAGGGATTTTCTTTTTTTTCTTTCTTTCTTTTTTTTGGTCTTTTTGAGACAGGGTCTCCCTGTAGCCCCAGCTGTCCTGGAACTCACTATGTAGACCAGGCTGGCCTTGAACTCACAGAGATCTGTCTGCCTCTGCCTCCCGAGTGCTGGGATTAAAGGCGTGCGCCAGCACGCCTGGCAAGGGATTTTCATTTTTTAATAGAGAAGTAATGTCTAACCAAAGATTCAGTTGCTTACTTTCACAGATATAGAGAGTACCAGGAGCCTGGATTTTTTTTTTTTTTTAATCTGTTACTAGAGAGGTGGAAAATGCTTCTCCAGTTCCCATGGGAAAGGGGAGTATGTCTGAATGGTGTTTAGAGGCGATGAGCTGATGGGATCTTAAAGACAAATATTCTGACTCTGAAGTAGGAGAAAGTGTGTTCTGTAGAAGAGTGAAATTACAGAAGAATAAACCAAATGGTGGGAGGGAAGAGGCAAGACTTATAAGGGGTAGAGGATGGATCTCACTATGTAGCCTGCCTGGCATGGAACTCACTGGGTAGCCTAGCCAAGCCTCCAACTTGCCATCCTCCTGCCTCAGTGTCCTGCGTGCTGGAATTATAAGTGTGTGCCACCATGCCCAGCTCAAGAACTTGGATTTGGAATGAGGTTTTTAACTTCAAATCTAGTTTACTCACTTCGTAGAAAACTTTGTACTCCAGTAAGTAGTTCTTAGTGAGGTTTGAGGATGATATCCTCTTGGATCCTCATGTTTGATGTGTGTGTGAATCTGTCTTTTGGCATGATTTGGGGTGGGAATAGGCAGAGTTTTTGAGATTGTCAATGATTTGATGGGAAGGTCTTAACAAGAAGTAGCAAAAGGGGCTGGGGAGATGGCGTAGTTGGTGAAGTGCTTGCCATATAAGTATGAGGACCTGAGTTTGGATCCCTGAACCCATGGAAAAAGCCAGGTGTGGAGGTGTGTGTGTTCTGTGGAGGCAGAGACAGGCCGTTTCCAGGAGCTTGCTGGCTAGCCAGCCTGACTGAATTGGTGAGCTCCCAGTACTGTGAGAGACCTTACCTCAAAAAAACAAGTTGGAGAGCAACTGAGGAAGATACCTGATGTTGCCTTCTGGCCTCTACTTGCGTGTGCACACATGTGTGTGCACACCTGAACCCCCCGCCCCCTAAGAAACAAAACAAAACAAAAAAAGAAGTGGCAGAGCTGTCCTAGGTTTGGTATGGGAGAGGTAGGGCCAGCCACCTCCACGTACTTATGAAAGTAGTTGTTCGGGGATAAGCAGAGCTGAGTCCTCCTTATGCCCAGTACCAAATGGTTTGCCTCTCTTCCAGAGAAATCTCCAAGCCTGAGATGGAGGACACCACTGAGGATGCCTCGATCCATCGTTTGGAAGGCACCGACCTGGACTCTCAGGTTGGCGGTCTTATTTGTAAGACCAAAAGCGCAGCCAGCGAGCAGCACATTTTCAAAGCCCCTGCTCCCCGCCCCTCACTGCTAGGACTGGACTTGCTGGCTTCCCTGAAACGGAGGGAACGAGAGGAGAAGGATGATGGGGAGGACAAGAAAAAGTCCAGAATCTCTTCCTACAAAGACTGGGAGGAGAGCAAGGATGAGCAGAAGGATGCTGAGGAGGAGGCTGATGAGCAGGCTGGCAGAAGTAGCCGGAAAGACAGGTAAAGAATGAGGGTAAAGGTGGAGGCCAGGAAATATTAGCCGGTGTGCACTCGATTTTCTTGCTGGACACCTAAGAGCTTTATGAGTTTTTCCGGTTCTATAATACCGATGTTAGATAGGAGTTGGTATTTTCCTCAGAGGGAAAAATTCAGAAGCAGCTAAGGAATGGATGATGGAGTTTAAATGCATTAGGGAGATGCACTGTGAAGGACAGATTGCTTGTCTGAAGCAGCCAGAGGTATGTTTGCTTCCATGGAGATCTCTTCCCTAGCTGATCTCTCTGTTCCAGGCATTATCGATCTGCTCGCGTAGAGACTCCATCCCATCCTGGGGGTGTGAGTGAGGAGTTTTGGGAACGCAGTCGGCAGAGAGAGCGGGATCGACGGGAGCATGGTGTCTATGCCTCATCCAAAGAAGAAAAGGATCGGAAGAAGGAGAAATCCAGGGAACGAGACTATGACCGCAAGAGAGACAGAGGTGATGTGCCAGCAGGGTCCCTGTTGTGGTTAGCATGTGAACAAGCATGCTAACCTTTTTCCTGTCCCAGCAACTTTATTTTTTTTTTTTTAATTTTATGTGTATGCGTGTATTGCCTGCATGTATGGAAGCGCACCCATGTTGTGCAGTGCACACAGAGGTCAGAAGAGGGCGTCGGATCCCTTAGAACTGGAGTTACGGACAGTTGTTAGCTGCCATGTGGGTGCTGGGATCTGAACCTGGGTCTTCTGCAAGAACATTCAGTGTTCTTAGCCACTGAGCCTCTCTCCAGCCCCCCAGGAACTTTTATAATGTTCATTAATTGGGTATCCTTATTTGTATGCTGTCTTCCTATTGAGACTGGATTAGCAAGGAATTTAAGGAAAGGGTCCTTGCTTATAACGTAGCTGTTTTGCTTGAGTGTGTGGTCACTGCTCTTTATGAAAACTGGTGGCAAAGGAAATAATGGGTAATGCATACAAGAAACCAGAGTTCACAGTAGTGTTGGTGAGGAAGAAAGGACAGTGCCGCGGAGCAAAGCTAGACCAAAATCCAACCCTGGCTTCGCTCAATAGTGTATATAGCTTAAGGCTTCTAACCCACAACACTATTTGTCAGACTTGTAGCTATTCTTTCTTTTAGTTCTTGGAGGAAAAAAGTTATTATGTGAGTTTGAACTTTGTACTTAGTACTTTTTTTTTTCCCCCCCTTGAGAGAATGTGAATCTGAATTTCAGCTCACAGAGCATATTAGAGCAGTGCATGGTGGACCTGTGAGACGGGGCGGGAGCTGTCCTTTCTCCAGGGTATGCATGATTAGGATGAGATACACCGTGTTAAGTTCTGTGTTCGACTCTTCACAGATGAGCGGGACAGAAGTAGGCACAGCAGCAGATCCGAGCGAGATGGAGGCTCAGAGCGTAGCAGCAGAAGAAATGAGCCAGAGAGTCCTCGACATCGACCTAAAGGTATTATGGGAGCTTTTCTGTGGTGGCTGGAGAGGATTCATGTGTTGAAGGGCAGAGGAGCAGCTTCCGGCCTCAGTGGCATGCTGTTTTAGGAGCCGGGCGTGGTTGGCGCACGCCTTTAATCCCAGCACTTGGGAGGCAGAGGCAGGTGGATCTCTGTGAGTTCAAGGCCAGCCTGGTCTACATAGTGAGTTCCAGGACAGCTGGGGCTACAGGGAGACCCTGTCTCAAAAAGACCAAAAAAACAACAAAAACAAAACAAAACAAAACAAAAATGCTGTTTTAAGCCACGCATGGTGGCGTACACCTGTAGTCCCAGCACTTGGGAGGCAGAGGCAGGCGGATCTCTGTGAGTTCAAGGCCAGCTTGGTTTACGTAGTGAGTTCCAGGACAGCTGGGGCTGCAGGAAGACCCTGCTTCAAAAAGAAAAAAAAAAAAAAATGCTGTTTTAAGTAGAATGAAAGCTGGACTGTTAACATTTAGATCTCTTTAAAAATTGTCAAAAAGACCAAAAAAAAAAAAAAAATTGTCAGTACTATCTTTAAAACCAAATATCCATTACAGAGAAGTACAAGGGAAACTGGAGAGATGACTCAGTGGTAAGAGCACTGGCTGCTCCTGCAGAGGACCCGGGTTCAGTTCCCAGCACCCACATAGTGGCTAACTCCAGTTCCAGGGGATCCAACATCCTCTTCTGTCCTCTGTGGATGTTGGACAACATGAATGCATTTACACACATGCAGGCAAAACACTTCAAGAAAAAAAAAAAAACAACTAACCAATGAAGTACAAAATAGTAAAAGAACCAAGTTGGGGACTGGTGAGATGGCCCTATGGGCAAAGGTACTTGCTGCCAAGACTGATGATCTGAGTTCAATCCTCAGAACCCACATGATAGAAGAGAACTGTCCTCTCCTGAGAAACATCCTTGACCTCCACATGTGTACTGTGGTACATGTATACACACATATACACACAAATAAATGTAATTAAAAACTAAAAAAAAAAAATTGAGAAACTAGGTTTGGTGGTTTATGTCTATAATCCCAACACTTTGAAAGCTGAGTCAGGACAATCATGAATTTGAGGCCAACCTTAACCACATAATGAGACACTGTTTCAAATCCCTCTTCCTGCCGAAAGAAGTTGGTAGAGCTGGCTTTTTGCTGGTGGGTCAGCTGCGTCCCTGATGCTGAATGTTTACTGCGTCTGTCTCTGCTCCCAGATGCAGCCACCCCTTCAAGGTCGACCTGGGAGGAGGAGGACAGTGGCTATGGCTCCTCAAGGCGCTCTCAGTGGGAATCACCCTCCCCAACTCCTTATCGGGATTCTGAGCGGAGCCATCGGCCATCCACTCGAGACCGAGACAGGTGAGGTCTAGGTGGAACAGCTAGGGTCTCAGGCACATGGTACGGGGTGTAGTTCCGCCCAGTGACTCCCGAGCTTGGTGTTTCCCAGGTCTGTGAGGAGCAAGTACTCGGATGACACACCTCTGCCGACCCCCTCCTATAAATACAACGAGTGGGCTGATGACAGAAGACACCTGGGGTCCACCCCACGTCTGTCCAGGGGCCGAGGTAAGGCCTGAGGGGCAGGAGGTAGAAAAGTAATTTGTCCCATCTGAGTTTGGCTGAGTGGAAGCTGTGTGGCTTTACAGCTCTTTTCCTGTCCCTGGAGATGAGCTGGAGTTGTGTGGACTGACCTGCTGTCTGCTGTCCTTCAGGGAGACGCGAGGATGGTGAAGAAGGGATTTCATTTGACACTGAAGAGGAGCGGCAGCAGTGGGAGGATGACCAGAGGGTAAAGGCAACATGTTTGAGGGTGGTGGTGGTCCCCGCAGGTGTGGGTGAAGGGAATCAGAGCCAAGGGCCCCAAGTGGCCCTCCAGCAGGCCTGGGCTTGGAGAGTGGTGGTTAATGCTGTTCCGTCAAAAGCCCTGGAGTCTTCTGAGAGTTGCAGGCTGTACAGTGATGCTTTTCTGCTGATGCAGCCTGTCAGATCTTACTCTTGCTGTGTGGGTACCTCTGTGTGGTAAAAGTAGGACATGCTGGCATGGCAGCCTACCATGTGGTCGTAGCTGTATAAAGTCTCCTGGCCTTCTCCCCAGGTGGTCTCTCGGAGCTCTCGCAAGGGGGTTCTGATGCCCTGCACGTCTCACCAGATGCCTGCTCCCCTTTGGCTGTGCCTCGTGCACAAACCTGACTTGTCTCTTGTTCTCATGCTCTGTTTCATGCTCTCCAGCAAGCAGACCGGGACTGGTACATGATGGACGAGGGATACGATGAGTTCCACAACCCCCTGGCCTACTCCTCTGAGGACTACGTGAGGCGGCGGGAGCAGCACCTGCATAAACAGAAGCAGAAGCGCATTTCGGCCCAGCGCAGGCAGATCAACGAGGTGAGGCTGCAGCAGTGGTTGGCGCAGATGCAGAGCGGAGCGGGACATGTGGGAAGACGGCTGGTCCACAGCTGGCCGATAGCTGAGAGGATCAGATATGCCACTAGTTGGAGAGGGGTGGGCAGGAATCTTTGGGTGGCGGAGAAAACCCAGCTCATACTTCTTTCTCCAGTGCTGTGTGAGAGTCCTGGAGGAGGGTGTATGGGTGGTGTGGTGCACACCTGGGTGTGTGTTCTGTGTGTCTCTGAGTAGGAGTAAGGCTGGTCACCATTCATGTTCCTTACTGGAGGTTCTGAGATGTAAGGTGCTGCTTCTTGGGACAAGTACTGCTGGGGATTTGGCTCCAGTGCCTCTCCTAAGGAGCTGTGGGGTAGAGAGGCCTGTGGGAGTTCTCTTTTGTTAGGATATGATGTGTGGACTTGCCTTGTGTCCTTTGAGGGTGACCACTTGGCTGCAGGCTGAGTGGTTCCTGTTATGTCCCCACAGGATAACGAGCGCTGGGAGACTAACCGCATGCTCACCAGTGGGGTGGTCCATCGACTGGAAGTGGATGAGGACTTTGAAGAGGACAATGCGGCCAAGGTGCATCTGATGGTGCACAACCTGGTGCCTCCCTTTCTGGATGGGCGTATTGTGTTTACCAAGCAGGTGAGGCTCCTGTGGCCAGAGACCTGGAAGTTAAAAAGTCCTGAGGAAGAGGGAGGAAGAAAGGATAGGGCACAGCCCAGCGTCTTGATGGCACAGCAACTCTGATTTACTAGGGCCTTTGTGAGACAAGCCCTCTGCTTCAGTGACCAGTGTGAACAGTGTGAAATCTCCTTTCTTCCTCCACTTCCTATAGCCGGAGCCTGTGATTCCAGTCAAGGATGCCACTTCTGACCTGGCCATTATTGCTCGGAAAGGCAGCCAGACAGTGCGGAAGCACAGGGAGCAAAAGGAGCGAAAGAAGGTTGGTCTCTGGGTACTTGCTGGGGAATCTGTGTGTGTTTCTTTTCCTTTAAAAAATCTCAGCCCGCACAGCTAGCAGATCCCTGCTGGCAGTCAAAGGATATGCTTTCGTGGAAGAAGTGGCCGCCAGAGGAGGGCACTGTGTTCCTCTACTCATTCCTAACGTAGGATATCCACAGGGAGCCAGAGGCCTGAGGCTTGAACTCTGGGGCTCAGTGCCACTGCTGGGACTTTGCCACCTGCGGAGGAGGCTGCTGTCCACTGGGATTGTTTCCATTGCCTACAGTCTTCTCAGAGGATGGGGTGACTGAACTCTTATCTTCTTCAGGCTCAACACAAACACTGGGAACTGGCAGGGACCAAACTGGGAGACATAATGGGTGTCAAAAAAGAGGAGGAGCCAGATAAAGCTGTGTCAGAAGATGGGAAGGTGGACTACAGGTGAGTAGGCTCAGCCAGAAGTAGGTATGCTCCCAAGCTCGTGCCTTGTGACTAGGGAAACCATGAGGTACCACTCTTGAGACCTTTGCTGTTTTTTTCTGATCCTTTTCCCCAGGTCTCTGTACTGTCTTCAACTTTCCTTGGGAATTACTCCCATCATCACCTTTGCTGCTGCAGTGGTGGTGTGAGTAGAGCAAGGCCCAGGGAGGTGGGGAACCTGCTTAAGGGCACCCAGCTAAGAAATGCTGGTTCGAGTGAGCCCAAGATAGTGCAAAGGGGCCTGTGCGCTTGCCCACTGCAACAGCTCCTTCCTGGTGTCAGCCTGGGAAAGCAGGATTGTCTCCACTGATTAGATTTCAGCTCAGTGTAAGGAAGAACTGTTCGCAGGGCATCTAAAGTAGAAAGGGTTATTATTCTTTTGGTAGTGACTTCTCTGTCGATAGAGGTATTGGGGGCAGATATGGGATTGTGCTTATTGGGGTTTCTGCATTGCATATGTGCCAGACTCAGATGTCCCTTACATGGCTCACATCTGTGGATCTCACATCCCACAGAACCATCTTTTGGGTTAGGGAGTCTTTGTACCTCTGTGTGAAATGTCCCACATGGGAAGCTGGTATTACTGGTTAGCCCTTGATAGTCTCTGGGTAATTAGGTTTCACTTGTCAGATGGCCAGGAGGACTGGGAGGAATTAGAAATAGAGGTTCTAAGGAGCTTGGCAGATCTAAGGGAGGGAAGGACACTTGGGGGAGGGTGGGTGGAACATGGTGCTTCTGGGTCTTGGGAAGTGTCCATGTGTCAGACATTGAAACTGAAGGTACATATCAAGTGAACTGTTCTCAGTCCTTTGAAATGAGGCCTTTGGACTGTGCTACCCTGCCGAGAGGAGACAGGAATTCTGACCTTCATGTCGCGTTAGTCATAACTTAGGGGACTCCAGTGACTGTTTAAGTCCTTCATGTGTTGTGTTGAAATTGCCTGGCTCTTCTTTGCAAGGTAGTGACATGCTGGCTGATTTCAACTCCTCTTCTGGTCACATTCTGCTTAGGGCAGGGATTTGTTCACTCGAGACTCTGTCCTCTTTGGTCAGTATTTAGCTCTCTGACCCAGGGCTGTGGACTGTGTTTTGGATGGAGTCTCACTGCAGTTCTGGTCCTCAGACCCAATGAGGTGCAGTCTTAGATGACCTGGCTATTTTGGTGTTGGAGAGATTGATTGCTGCTTGTTGCAGTCATTCTCCTTCCTGGGAGTCAGAAGAAGGGCAGCTAACTCAGTCAGGAGGGATGGTATGGGAAGTCATGCAAGGTGCTCAGTCGGTTGTGTTTCCCAGGACAGAGCAGAAGTTTGCTGATCACATGAAGGAGAAGAGCGAGGCCAGCAGCGAGTTTGCAAAGAAGAAGTCGATCCTGGAGCAGAGGCAGTACCTGCCCATCTTCGCTGTGCAGCAGGAGCTCCTCACTATCATCAGGTAATGGCCCTGGGCCCAGCGGCCGTCCCTCTGGCTCCTGTCTGTACTCAGGAACTTTCTCCTGTGTGTGTTGCACCTGCTGGGGAAGGGAAATAACTTCTTTCCCTAATCGGTTGCCCTGAACTATGCTGCCTGAAGAAAGAAGATGCCATTTCCTTTAGTGCTTCAGCTCATGTTACTGTGTTCCACACGTTCGTGTGGTCACTCCCCAGAAGGCTCTTTTGCCAATGAAGTCCTCTCTAGGCAAGCATGCTCCTGGGCAAGCTAGACTTGGTGACAGGAGGGAGGCAGGACTTCATGAAGGCTTTCTGGAGTTCTCTCGCAGTTGACGTCCCCCCAGGCTGCTCAGCTCTTTGCCTACTCTTCCTTGTAGAGACAATAGCATTGTGATCGTGGTTGGGGAGACAGGGAGTGGCAAGACCACTCAGCTGACGCAGTATCTGCATGAAGATGGTTACACGGACTATGGGATGATTGGGTGCACTCAACCCCGGCGTGTGGCTGCCATGTCAGTGGCCAAGAGAGTCAGTGAAGAGATGGGGGGAAACCTCGGTGAAGAGGTGAGTGGATGTAAGGGCCGAGCCTGGTAGTTTCCCCTGATATTTTCTGCCTTTTATGCTGGAGGGTGTGATCTACTTAGGCTGGACCCCAGTCTGGGGTGCTAGCAGTGAGTAGCGGCCAGAGTTTCCGAGCATCTCTCTGACCTCCAGGTGGGTTATGCCATCCGCTTCGAAGACTGCACTTCTGAAAACACCTTGATCAAATACATGACTGATGGGATCCTGCTCCGTGAGTCCCTCCGGGAGGCTGACCTGGATCACTACAGCGCCATCATCATGGACGAGGCCCACGAGCGCTCCCTCAACACCGATGTCCTCTTTGGGCTGCTCCGGGAGGTGAGGGCTATACGGTCCATTCCTCTGTTCTCTTGGGGCTATGACCACTGTCCTGCCAGCTGCAGTGGCTGAGGTGCTCCATGTGGGTTGGGGTGAGTCGTCTCTGAGGCCCCTGGCTACTTGCTCAGACCTGCTGGTGTAGTGTGCTCTGCCCTCGCTCAGCTGAGTGACTTCTGGCTCCAGTGCTTGGTCTTGACGATTGATCAGTCTGACAGGCCATTTTGCCATCATTTGCTTCTGCTTTATTTGTGGTAATGAGGCGAGGCTGGAGGCCCCAAGCCCATGGTAGCTCTGAATGACCCCTTTCTCTTAGGTTGTGGCTCGGCGCTCAGACCTGAAACTCATTGTCACATCAGCCACTATGGATGCTGAAAAATTTGCTGCCTTTTTTGGGAATGTTCCCATCTTCCACATCCCTGGGCGTACCTTCCCCGTTGACATCCTCTTCAGCAAGGTATGCAGTCCCAGGCCATGCACTTCTCTGATGAAAAACCAGCTGGAGGAGGTGGGGTACTGAGATAGAAAGCTGTTATGGGATAAAAGGGACAGCCTGAAGCTCTCAGGCTCAGATGGGAGACACAGGGCTGTGGTCTGTGGGAAGTTTTGTGTCCTTGTTTCTGAAGTAAGGATCCTGGGGAGACTCTAGGTATAATTGCTAGGGCCTCGTAGTCAGGCCCATTCTGAAGATGGCCGTCCTGAGTCCGCTGTTGCAGCCCAGACCAGTGACCAGCTGTGTGTTCTATAAGGGGTGCTTGACCTATGCTGCCCCTGTGCCCTTCTGACTGTCCCCCGCTGGTGTTGTAGACCCCACAGGAAGATTACGTGGAGGCTGCAGTAAAGCAGTCCTTGCAGGTGCACCTGTCAGGAGCTCCTGGGGACATCCTTATCTTCATGCCTGGCCAAGAGGATATTGAGGTGTGTGCTTGGGTCCATTGGGATGGGTGGTGAAACCTCTGTATGAGAGTTTGAGGCTGCAGAGTCTCATGGCTCCTTCCTGTGACTTCAGGTGACCTCAGACCAGATTGTGGAGCACCTGGAGGAACTGGAGAATGCGCCCGCCCTGGCTGTGCTGCCAATCTATTCTCAGTTGCCTTCTGATCTCCAGGCCAAAATCTTCCAGAAGGTGTGAATGGGAATGCCTGTTTTGGGTCATTACCTTTGAATGTCTCTTGGCCTCCCACAGAAGAGGGCAAGTGGGAGGGATGTTTCTTCCCTGGAAGGGGAGGTGCAGTCTTCTGCTCCCAAGGACTCAGCTTACTTCTTGCCCATGCTGATTGGCCCTAGGCTCCAGATGGCGTTCGGAAGTGTATTGTTGCCACCAACATCGCTGAGACATCCCTGACCGTCGATGGCATTATGTTTGTTATCGATTCTGGCTACTGCAAGTTAAAGGTAAGGAGAGCTGCAGGAGGCCCTGGGTTTTCACCTGAAGTGAGTGGGGCTCGGGTGGGAAGTCGGGCCCTGGCCCTTACTCTATAAGGTCCTCTGTAAGGTGGGGGTCTTAGGCTAACATGTAGTGAGCACTGAGTTTGTCACATTTGATCCATTTAATCCTTGTGGTAGTGTGAGGATGTAGATGATTTAAAAAGCTCAGTAGAGATCAAGGAACTGGTATTCATGGGGAAGCCTCTGAGACTGTTTCTTGAGGCTGCTGGCTTTAAAAATGGCTACCTGCATGCTATGACTTGCTCTGTGAGGTGTAGTAACTGGGTTTGTCTGTCTCAGGGCTGCCTCCCCTCCCCCCCCCACCTTCTGTCCATAATCAGCTCTTTTTGGGCCCCCTCCTAGGTCTTCAACCCCAGGATTGGCATGGATGCTCTACAGATCTACCCCATCAGCCAGGCCAATGCTAACCAGAGGTCAGGGCGAGCTGGCAGGACGGGCCCAGGTCAGTGTTTCAGGTAGGAGCCCTGTGCTAGCCTGCTTCCCGGGGCAGCGCTGGAATTGCTGACTGGAACCCGCTGCATCCTGTGTGGTACTGGCCCTAGTTAGAGCTGAGTTCCAAGGCTGGGAGTATTCAAGAGCTGCCACTGGGTGGTGCTGCTGAGTGGAGAGAGCAGCCTTTCCAGGGAAGCTCTGAAGCAGACAGAGCTAAGGAAGGTGCTTGCAGTAGAGACCAGCAACTACAGCCCACCCTGGTGGATGGGTCCAAGTAACTGACAGTGCTTTTTACTTTTCCAACAATTTTTCCTCTTCTGTTTTTTTGATTTAAAAAAATAATGCATTATTATAGAAATTCAGCAAGATGTTGAGACAATAGGACCTTGCTGTAATTCTCGTTCCAAGTGCTTTGGTTCCCACAATGGAACAGGTGTGTGGGGGGCTCTGGCAGAAGAGTTGAGCCGGCAAGAAGGGGTTTGGGCAGGTGGCAGTGGTGATTCAGGGAAACATTAAGTGGGGAGGAGAGCAGGGCCCTGCCTGGACAATTTATGGGCAGTTGGGGGCCACACTTGTGAGAATTTGGAGTAGTTCCTGCTGACCTGCTGTGTGGTCCCCGAGGATAGCCAGTCACATGTGAGGAGTGGTGGGCCAGCACAGGGCAGCGCAGCCCAATTGGTGACTTCTCACCTGCAGGCTCTACACACAGAGTGCCTACAAGAATGAGCTCCTGACCACCACGGTGCCTGAGATCCAGAGGACCAACCTGGCCAACGTGGTGCTGCTGCTCAAGTCCCTTGGGGTGCAGGACCTGCTGCAGTTCCACTTCATGGACCCACCCCCAGAGGACAACATGCTCAACTCCATGTATCAGCTGTGGATCCTTGGGGCCCTAGATAACACAGGTGCGGTGGCCAAGAGCTGGCAGGGCCTCAGGACCCTGGCACTTGGCTTCTTTTTTCCACGGTTCATGGAACTTCTGGGTTTGCTTTCTCTCTAGGTGGTCTCACCTCCACCGGGAGGCTGATGGTGGAGTTCCCACTGGACCCAGCCCTGTCCAAGATGCTCATTGTGTCTTGTGACATGGGCTGCAGCTCTGAGATTCTGCTCATCGTCTCCATGCTCTCAGTCCCTGCCATCTTCTATAGGCCTAAGGTGGGGAGTTGGCACTGGTTCCACTCTCTTCCCAGGGTGGTTGAGGGGGTCTTGCATGGGGAAGAGCTATCCTCTGTGTTACTTGGAGTTTCTGACTTTGTTGTCTTCTCATAGGCTGTTTGGAGAGGTGGAAGGGCTCAGTCAGTGGTCCTCATAGTATTTTGGAAGCTAGCAAGACCATATTTTATCTTCCAGTATGGTTCTGCAGTCCTCATCTTACAGCCTGCTTTATTATGAATTATTTTTATTCTGTACATTAGACATACTGACCTGGGAGAACCCTTGGGATGTGCTCTATAGGCCTCGACTCCCCATACGTATAGTAAAGGTCTTTTTTTTCCTTCTTAGGGCAGAGAGGAGGAGAGTGATCAAATCCGGGAGAAGTTTGCTGTCCCTGAAAGTGATCATTTGACCTACCTGAATGTCTACCTGCAGTGGAAGAACAATAATTACTCCACCATCTGGTGTAACAACCATTTCATCCATGCCAAGGCCATGCGGAAGGTAGGGGCAACACCCCAGAGGATGGGGTGTCTGGAGGATGGGGTGGGGCAGGAGAAAGGAGAGCTCCAACCTGACTTGCCTGTGTCCTGCTCTAGGTCCGGGAGGTGCGGGCCCAGCTCAAGGACATCATGGTGCAACAGCGGATGAGCCTGGCCTCATGTGGCACTGATTGGGACATTGTCAGGAAGTGTATCTGTGCCGCCTATTTCCACCAGGCAGCGAAGCTTAAGGTGAGCCCAGGAGCCATGGAACTCTAGCTTCTTCCCTCACAGCATGAGTCTGGAAGCACAGTCCTTGGTCTCTGTAGATCTGGGTCTCACCCTAAGTCTGTGTCAAGACAGCATTTGTGATATGACTGCCTGTCCTCTTCTCTAGGGGATTGGGGAGTACGTGAACATACGAACAGGCATGCCTTGCCACTTGCACCCCACCAGCTCTCTCTTTGGAATGGGCTACACCCCAGACTACATTGTGTATCATGAGCTGGTCATGACCACCAAGGTGAGTGTCTCCCAAAGTGCTCCCTATCTGGGCCCTCCTGCTCGGGCCAAGCCTTGCAAGCCCTACTGCCTTGTACAGAGTGCTTTGCGCTCTGGAGACTTGAGGTGCCCGTGTTATTCTGCAGGGTCTTTGAGGTTGGTTTTCAGCTTGGGGCTGGGAGGAGGGTGTTGGTATCAAGTTAACCCTTAGAGTCCAGAGACCTCAGCCGTGCCAGGGTCGCTTTCTACTCACTGCTGGCATGAAAAGCCACTGTTGGTGTCATCACAGGGCTTTCGGCGGGGCGGGGCCCTTGGATGCTGGGGCTGTTTTCTCAAGCATGGGGAGATTTGGATGGAGAGACACAATCCCAGTATTCCTTACATTTTCCAGTCTTGCAGGACTAGCAGTAGGGCCTTCTCATGTGACTACTGACTGTGGAACCACTCTGGGAAGGGACACTGACTCCTCTGTGACCTCTACCTCGCTGCCCTTTTGTCCACAGGAGTACATGCAGTGTGTGACCGCTGTGGATGGAGAATGGCTGGCGGAGCTGGGCCCCATGTTCTACAGTGTGAAACAGGCAGGCAAGTCTCGGCAGGTGAGGATCCTGCGCTTCCTTGGAGGTGCCCTTTGCCCATGGGAGGAATCCCCCTCAGCTTGCTGTTGAAGGCTCGTCCTCATCCACTCTCATCTGTCCTGCCTGCTCAGTTTCCTCATACCCCTCCAATGGGTTGGTTGGCTGGGCCTTTTTTATTTTTTAAACTTAGTGGAAAACCTCTAATACTCATAAAACGAGATAAACACTCTAAAGAAGCCACCGTAATTGACTAACTCTCGTTTTCCATAATGACAACATCAATCTTATTTTGCTAATTTTTTCACTCCCCATCATCCATACTCTTCTCTCCCTTCAAACGTTTTAAAGCCTATCTCCAGAGATTGAGTTGTCTTATCCTTAAGTGCTTGAAGATGCACCTGGGACGAATAGTTCTAGTATGTGATTTCTGTGCCACTGTAACTCCTTAGAGCTAACCCTTCGTGCTACTTAGGTCTCCAGTTCTTATTCAGAGCTCCCAATTATCTGAGAAAACTTCTGACAAGATTTGCTTGAATTAGGGTGCAGCCCTTGTAGTGGTGGCTATGTGTGTTCACACTTTATTCCTGGACAGGATCTGCTCGCCTCCCTTTTTTTATAACATTGATACTTTTTGAGCAATCAGTACATCTGTCATGTAGGATATTCCATAGTATGTATTTGCTCATGACTTCCTCTGGTCGTGACTGACTTATGGCTCTGTCTTGAATACTTTTATAATCTAAAGGCTTGGTTAAGATTGGGGTTCAGCTGTGTGGGGAGGATGTGATTAGCTTACCTGGTGCTGTGGGCTTTCAGATGCTGTGAGGAGGTATGTAAGGTCTGGTAGCCCCACTTTGGATGATGCTGATGGATTTGTGGTCTTGCAGTGTCTCTTCTGATTCTTCTGCTCATGAGTCTATCTTGGATTTGGTGTCCACTGATGACCAACATTTGCATTATTAATTGGAGTTGCAAAATGTGACTTGGCTTTTGTCTTCCCACTTATCACAGAATTCTGTTTTCCACACTGGGACAAACACATCTTCCTTTCCAGCCACATGGCAGTGTCTTCCTGATTTTCTTGTGCTTCCCACCATAGTTGTGACCTTGGTGAGAAAGATGACAGGACTGAGCTGGGGACCAGCATGCATTGCAATCTCCAGTACTGCCAGAAGGAAAATTAAAAAGGAAGCCTTGACTGGAGGTTGCCTTGACAATCTTGGAGCTAGAGAGATGACTCAGTGGGTAGTGCTTGCTGTGTAAGCATGAGGACCTGAGTTCAAATCCCCATGTAAAAAAGCTGGGCATGACCAGGACAGGCAGATCTTGGGAGCTCACTAGCCAGCCAGCCTAGCTGAAAGTGAGCCTAGGTGAACTTCACCTTCAATGAGAGACACTGTTCACTATTTCAGATAGCAATCAATCAGTGTCCTTTTCTGGCCTGTGCAAGGGGTCACCTACCCCACTTTGTGCACACACACACTTACACATACACATATTAACCTGCCCCTGCCCCAAAGAATGTCAGTACTTACTGGTTTGGATGGGGTGCTGAGGTGACCAGCTTGGACTGAATTACTCTATTTTGAATTGAATTTTTACAAAAATGTTTGAGCTGCAGAAGGAAAGCAGCCTTGGTGCTGGGGCACAGAGCCCCACAGCCCCCGGTTCTGAGAGCTGGTCCCTGGCACAGACATAACCTGCTCAACTAGCCCCTTCTGCCTTCAGGAGAATCGTCGTCGAGCTAAAGAGGAAGCCTCTGCTATGGAGGAGGAGATGGCCCTGGCCGAGGAGCAGCTGCGTGCCCGGCGGCAGGAGCAGGAGAAGCGCAGCCCCCTGGGCAGTGTCAGGTGAGGCTTGGCCACTGGGAGGGTGCCAGGGCCCAGGCAGGTGCTAGGTCCGGATTTTAAGATGTTAACATTGTAAAGGGGAATTGGTGCAGAAGTCACTTCTTTGCTACATGGTCACGTGGAGGCACAGAACTAGGTGTGGACAACCTTAAGGCACAGATGTCCATTTGCAGTTTTTGGTAGTTGTGTGGACTCAGGGCTTGAAGTGGGCTGGAATCCCAGAATAGGTCTTAAGGCTTTACAGTCAGGTGAGGGGATTGGAGAAAAACAGCAGACAGAAGAACCTTGGATTTCTGCATCTGTGCTGGTCTGATACCTGGAGTTAGGCCAAACACTATAGGCAGGGTCATAGTCCTCCACAGGACTGCCCTCACTTCATGTACCCCAGCAGGTTTGGAGGACACCCTCTCTTTTGACCAACTTACTACAAATCTGGGGATTCCCTTTGACTTGCTCTGGTTTCTGGAAATGACTCAAGAACTCAGGACAGCATGACACATACCAGTTAGTTTTTATTATTGCAAACGAATAAGAATCAGCCAAAGAGAAGCAGGGGTGCTGAGCAGGTCCTGAATGGAAAGCTACATTTGTCCTCGGGACCCAGGTACCCCGGCACATCGATTGTGACAGTATGTACGGCAGGGTGTTGCCAACCAGGGAAGCTTGTGTGAGCTTTAGTGCTCATAGTTTTTAACCGAGTTCCATGCCATTGGCAGGGATGGTTGAATCATTGTCTTGGTGATTGAACTCAGCCTCTGGTCCTCTCCCTGGCCCTCCTTTCTAGGGCCTAGACTCATACCACAAGGCTCAGAGCTTAACTCTCAATACCAGCCAGCCCATCTTACTCAGGGCTAGCAAAAACTGTGAGATGTGTTCTAAAGGGCCTGCTGCGAGCAGCAGAGACACCTAGCCACTTGGCTAATTCCTCCAGGAACTGGGGACAAAGGCAAGTGTGATGCTTTGTCACACAGAGTGGTGGTGGTCTGCTGAGGTTGGTAGAAACTGTCTCTACTGCTTATCGAGGGGCCAGGAAAAGAGGTGTTTAAAAATCCATTTAACATTCCGTAATAGATATCAGAATGGAGGGACTTCCTTCAGTAGTCTAATCAGAAACAGGGAGGCAGGGGAGTGCAGTGTGCTGTAGATAAGTCCTTGAGCCTCGAGGCTGCTATACACCTGGGTCAGAAACAGCAGGGCTTAGGGCCTTTGATCCTGTTGGGGACTCTACTGGCAGAGGAGCAGTGTTTTCTACCTCCTCTCTCTGTGTCTCCAGGTCCACGAAGATCTATACTCCAGGTCGGAAAGAGCAAGGGGAGCCCATGACACCTCGTCGCACTCCAGCCCGCTTTGGACTGTGAGCTGAGGCTGTCCCGAGAGAGAGTGGCAGCCAGCTATCAGCTCCTAGTCCTCTAGCCAGAGTGCCCTAAGGCTGTGGACTTCATCCATGTTCATCCAGGCTCCTGGGGCAGTTCTGCTGGGCCAGGCTCTGCAATAGAGGAAGGAGGTGCTCCTGGTGCAGGAGCTTGGTGGGAACCGGCTGAGGAGGGGCTGAGATGCTTCCTGAGCAGAACATGGCTGGACCCATCACATCTGCATAACCTGTCCCTATACTCAGGGTGAGTGGCTTGACTGACTCTTAATCCTGTGTAAAGCAGCAAGATAGAGTCAGAGGCAGTTTTAATTTGGTTATCGTTCAGGATTTGGAAATAAATATATTATTTGTAAAATGTGATTGCACATCTGATTTCCTTTTTCCTTCGGTGCCCCAAGCCCTACAATAAAGACAGGAGGGGCAGAGCCCTTCCCCTTACTGTCCTTGATGGAGCTTCCTAGACCCTTAGCTTCACGCTATGTCCATTCGCCAGGTGGGGATTCTTTGTGTATGCATGTATACGTTCATGTGTTTGTGTGCACATGCACGTGTGTGCAAGTGTGGGGGCCAGACATTAATGTCGGTGTTCTCAATTGCCCTCCACTTTATTTTTTGAGACAGGGTCTCTCACTGAACGTGGAGCTTGCTGATTCAGTTAGACTGGCTCAGTAGACAATCCCCAAGGATCCACCTTTCTCTGCCTCCCCTGTGCAGGGACTGCAGACGTGCACCACCATGCCTTGGTTTTTTCGTGGGTGCTGGCAATCAGAACTTAGGCTGTTGTGCTTGTGTGGCGAGCACTTGACAAACTGAGCCATCTTCTCAGCCCCAGGCAGGGCTTTTAGAAGGGGTTGACCAGGTGGCACAACTTAGGTGTAGAAACTTGGGGTGGCTCAAGGCACCCAGCATAGCAGGTTGAGCTCTGGGAATGCCAGCTGGTCCTGATGCTGGCGGGCAGTGGCAAGGCCTTGATGGCCTATTAGTGGGAGATAGGGGAGCACAGGCTGGGTGTAGCCTCCCCAGGTGTGAGTTGGCTGTCCTAGAGTAGCAGAGGTTTCTATTCGTCAGGTGTGATGACTGGGTATTGACTGAAAAACAGTATAGAACTTGCTCATTGATTTACATGAAAAGATGAGCCTTAGGCTGGAATCCCTAGTCTTTTCTGTTGTGAAGCAGACTCTTAGGTTGGCTGAGGTGGCTTTTTGAGTATTAGGCCCTTTGTGTCATCCACAGGGTTTATTTTCTGACTTCTGGGCCTTGGGCTTCTGCCAGCTGTTCTGGTTTGTATAAACCCATGTTGGGGCCATCACTGATGGGAGGTGGCTCACAAGCACCTCATGAGGTCAGGGCCTGATGTGATTCCCTTGAAGCTGGGTTTTCTGCATTGAGTCTCTTTCTCCCTCTGTTCCTTGAGATTTGAATTTGCATCTGACTCCATATAAACTTATATCAGTGTTGTGAGTCAGTTTGGAAGGCGAGCTTTGACAGCCAGGGCTGGGTCCTGCCCCCTACTTCCTTCTCTTCATCCTAGTGGCCTTGATTGGGATGTGCATGAAGTCGCCTGTAAAGGCCTGTACCAGGAAGAGGCTTCCAGCTGCTTGCCTGGGAAGTCGAATCTTCCTTGCGGGGAAGGGCTAGGAGAGGGTGTCTGGAGGGCTAGGAGACATTGGCTGGATAGGAGACCTGTTTACAGACTCAGGGTTAGGATACAGTGGAACAGGAAGACAGGTTCTAGTTGAAATATAACTAACAATCAGAGATCTTGGTGACAAATTCACCTTCATATCCCTTAGATGAGAAAAATAAAAGGCAGAGAGATTGTGAAAACTATGGGTCCGATCCAACCTTCTAATTTAAAAGCAAGGACCATCTGGCCAAGGACACATATGTGCCAGAGGATGAGTGGACAGCCTCCCCCTCCAGTCCAGCAGCTCCACCTGAAGCCGCTCCTGCTTGAGGTTGCCTGGACCTGTTTCTTAAGATTACCGACCCTTTTTGTTTAGACCAACTTAACTACTGATGCTTTCCAGCTTTCTCAGGTTCTCTTTCTAGTGGACAGAAGCATTTCTGAGAATGTCCCAGTCTCTGTTTAGACCTGTGGCCCTGAAGTGAACTCCTAAGTCTGCTGAACACTTCAGACTTGCTGGAGTGAGGGCAGAGTATGTACTCCACAAGAAGGCCCTGCCTGGGGCCGGGTGCTTTGCTCTTAGTCACCTGAGTTTATCCTTTATCCTAGTAGATGGTCTTTATCTTAGTAGATGGTCACCAGGAACCAGAGACTAGAGATGTTAGCTGTTAAAGGTCTGAGGCTGAAATGGGGACTCCTTCTGGGTCCCCAGTGCTTGTTTGACAGACTGTTGTCTGCAGCAGTCTCAAAAGGCAATTGGGCTGTATGCTGGATAACTTTGGTGCCAACCTGACACACCTGGGTTGAGGGAGCCTCAATTGGGGAATTGCCTCTATTGGACTGGCCTGTGGCCATGTCTGAGGGGCATCTACTTGATTGTTGTGTGATGTAGGAGGGCCCAGCCCACTGTGGGTAGTGCCACCCCTGGGCAGGTGGGCCTGTGTTGCATTAGAAAGCAGCTGAGCAGGGGCCAGGGGAGCAAGCCAGTAAGCAGCATTCCTCCATGGCCTGTGCTCCAGCTCCTGCCTCCAGGTTCCTGCTCTGAGTTCCTACCTTGGGCTCCCAGATGAACTGTGACCTGGGATATGTAAGCTAAATAAACCCTTTCTTCCCCAAGTTGGTAGTAGTCAGAGTATTTTGTCACAGCAACGAAGAAACAAACTAAGACAGGCTGATTTGGGAAAACTCAAAAGGCAAATTTGCATTTGCAGAATGGTAGCTGGGGGTGGGGGTTCCCTTCTAGGGAGAGAGGAAGACAGGAGAAAGTGGGCCGGGGCCATTGACATTTGCTCTGGGTTCCTTTAGCTCAGAGAAGAATTGGACTCCAATGGGGAAAGAATCTACCACCAGGATTCTGCCAGCACCAGTTATCAGAGTCAGAACAACAGCCTTCCACCAAGTGTCCAGAGCATTTATTTATAATCTCTATGGCTATATCCTGGCTTTATAATCATATCTTTTTTTTCCTCCTAATTTTTATAGAAAATACACAGAACATAAAAGCTATCATCTTCGAAGTTTTTAGGCATAAAGCTAATGGCCTTAAGTATGTTTATAATATGCATCCATCACCACCACCTGTCTCTAGATCTCTTTTCTTATAAAACTGAAACTGTGGTCGTTAAATGACAGTTCTCCCTTCCCTTCTCTCCCAGCTCCTGGCAACCACCATGCTACTTTCTGTGATGTGTCAAAGCACCTCACAGGTGGAGCTTTACAGCTTCTTTTGTGATTAAGTACAGCGTCCTCAGCGTTTATGCATGCCGTAACAGTGTCAGAATTTTCTTTCCTTTTAAGGCTGAATACTGTTCAGTTGTATGCCTGCACCACATTTTGCTTATTCATCTGTTGGTGGAAAGTGGTAGCTTTCACACTGTAACTGTTATGAATAATGCTGCTAGGACTGGGGGTGTACAAATAACCCTTAGAACTGTTTTTAATTTGGGGAAGGTCTATACCTAGAAGTGAATTATTAGGTCATATATAGTTTTTAGGAATTGCCACACTATTTACATAGGCGTTCCTTCATTTTATACCTTCACTACCAGTGTGAGAAATGCTCCATTTTCCCCATGACTTCAGTGATACTTACTTTTTTGGCATAACTACCATGCATAATTTTAAAGATTGTGTGTGTAGGGGTGTGTGTGTGTGTATGTATGTGTGTGCCCATGCACGCACACGTGTGCCATTGTGTGTGTGTGTGTGTGTGTGTGTGTGTATGTATGTATGTGTGTGCCCATGCACGCACACGTGTGCCACAGCATGTGAAGGTCAAAGGACAACTTGTGGGAATTGATTCTTTATTTCTACCAATTGAACTCAGGTCATCAGGCTTGGTGGCAAGCGCCTTTACCTGCTGAGCCATCTTGCTGGCCCCCTTGTGGTAATTTCTGTATTCTTTTTATAGTAGCCACACCAATAGGTGCTATGTCACTGTATAGCCATGGCTTGTATTTCCCTAACAATTAGTGATGTTTAACTTCTCATGAGCTTGTTGGGCCATTTGTACTTTCTCTGGAGAAATATCTATTTAAGTTCTCTGCCCATTAAAAAAAATATTATTTTTATGTGTATAGTGTATTACCTGCATGTATGTAAGTGCACCTGTGTCATGAAATGCCCATGAAGGTCAGAAGGTACTGGATTCAAGGTATCTCCTAGAACTTACAGTTACAGTTGTTAGCCATTGTGTGGGTGCTGGGATTCACCCTTACCTGCTGAATCATCATCTCTCCTGCTCCCTCCTCTGCCCATTTTTTGGCCCTTTTTTTTTTTTTTTT